TGAACCACGATGTTTCTACAGTAGTGAAGAGACAGACAAACCAAACACTGGCTCTAGATGGAGCGTTGATATCTGCAATCTCACCGCCCGATGCCACTAAATCTTATACCTATATCCTATATGCCATTATGGGTGCTATCTAGTGGGCCGCAGAGGCAATGTTAAAATGTTTTTATTTATTTTATATCTGAATATGCTAAAAAAATCACATAAATAAAATCCATCAAATTAAAATGCATAATTTCCGTGATAAGTTATGTGTAAATATCACCACTCCGAGCTCACACCACATCCGGTAAAAATACCACATGGAACAACTTTACATCCGCGTCACGCCTTGGCTCTGTGTTCTGCCCATCTTCAAATATCATCGAGAGCGTTTCAGAAGCGAAGCATATTCAGAGTGTGTTACAGAACTGTGTGTTTCTCCTCTAACCTGCCTCTGACTGACTTCTGGCCTGGGGTCACAATTTGGCGAGAAATTCGAACCAGAGTCTGCAGGTATTTTATTTTGAAAGTTGACTGGATTATCTGTGCTGTTTCTGTGTCTGACTTCCTGTGAGTGAGATCTGCTGCTTGATGCGAGTGGGCTTCTGGGATGCACCGCAGCACTTCTAGTGGAATTTAGAGCAGTGTTTAGAACAGGTGCGATCAGCTCCAGCGGAGCTAGAATGCGTTGAGGCCATGTCCGGTGGATTATGTTGTTTTTTTTCTTTATTCATTTGAGCAGGTGGTACTCGGAAATTACACACTTAAACATAGGAAGTGGTTCCTTTTTGCTGTCAAGGACACCCAATTGATACTCTCAGGGATCCCTGTCTGATAAGATTTAGTTCTTCCAAAACTGTAAAAATCTGTTGACCAAATTTCACTGACAACATCATCAACAACAGCTAATGTGGTACACTGTAAACGATGACACCCCCTCATTCAGAAACATTACATTTAATTTCAGAAACATTTGGTCCATCCTTAGCCAAAAATACACTCACACCCGATAGTTATCCAAAAGAATGTATTTCAAACTAGAAACAAAAGAAAAGGCAGAAGACTCCAAGACAGACCTTGCTGACTCATTGTGTAGAACACTAACTAGTAAAGCCACATTAAATCACAACAAACAGCCAAAGCCACAGAAACAGGTTCATCCAGTCACTGACACCTTATCTTCATCTCCACCAAACACACACACACACACACTGTGTCGCTGTCCATCTGCTGTGTGACTGAATACAGAAGGTTGGGAACACTCTCACACACACTACAGTCATCATCAGTTTCACACATGCCCATGCACTGAGACTACATGCAGTTAGAGGAAGGGAAAGTCAACACTTGACTGCACAAACACAAAGCTGATGTAGTGCTTCATCATTATCATGCCGTTATCATGCAGCTAACCACATTAAAATCATGAAAAGCCCAGCAAGGGTCCACATCTGAATGTGGAACGGGATGAAAGCTTGTGTTGTATGTAAATGGATCATGGGTAGGACTAGTTTGGAAATCAACAAAAGCAATAATATGAAAATAATATTGTTATTGTGTTTTTACTGACTCGCAGGACTAGAACTAGCACAACAAGATGTAAATTCATTTTTGTCGTCTAAGTCATCTTTTCATATAACCTATGTTCCATTTTGTTTGTATAGTTTAGATGATCTTATTTCTCAGGCTACTCATTTCACTTTCAAATCAGCATCAGCACAGCTAATCTCCTCAGTGTTAATCCACCCCTCTATATGAGAGGGTTAAATGGAGTAAGCAACATGGTCTGGATTTGACTCTTTTTAGGGTTTTTGATTTGATAGCCAATACATTGTGCAATATCTTGCCGCAAAACAATTTTATTTGTATCTGTATGTATTTATGTGTCTCTGTAAATGTTAAAATTTGAAAAGTGTCCTGAGAT